TTTGGTCGACCCCAATGCACCTCGCTCTCTCGCTCTCTCGGCTGCCCCCTGTTGACCCATGAACGTGGTGGCAGGTCAGCTTACAGCGTCTTGTTATGGCGCTTACGCACAACTTCGTGACTAACGCTGCACGTTCCGTCGTTTTCATGCAGGGGGCGCTGCAAACCTACGCGCCCCCTGCATGAACGACGGAGGTGCAGGGACAGACGTTCAACCGCGTTGGAATCGATCTGCAGACGGTGGTCTTCTCGCACGGCCAGCTCTGTGTTGCCTCATCTCGATCCCGCGATCCCAACCAGGTGAAAGTCCGCATCGAACCGAACCCCCGGCAAGGCCATCTACTTAACGACGAGAGAAAATTCATACCAAATGTCGTTTTCAAATAAATCTTCCAGATGTAAGATGATATAAGCTTTTAATGAATAAATACAATTATCGAATTCAAAACATAATCAAATTAAAACTGTTTCATTTTAAAACTTCAAAACGGAGCATCGGGAGCTTTTTACCTACGTGACTTTAACCGCTTTCACACTCACTTCTGCTGCTGTATCTTCTCCGAATTCTAAACAGATTCTGCTTAAGGCCAGCCTATCTTTAATCTCAGAGAGGATAAGGCTACTCCGATTTGAACTCGATACTTTAGACTGGACTCTCCTACAAGCTCATTTAATGTTAACACAAAAAAATGTCACCGTCTGATTGGAATCACGTAGACAACATGACTGCTTCTGCGGAGTCACTGTCAGTCAAATGTAAAGCTAACCTGATTTCTAAATTCAACCACCTATCAAAGAAGAACCCATTCGTCATTAATCAGAGTAGCACCCCGATTTCAGACAATCTGAAAACAGTACTGGCTAGGGGACTAAATTTTGCTGTCACCCCAAAACACATACCAGTAGATGATATCATCTCTCAGGTCGATGTAGCCCTCAAAGGCGTAGGACACATCCAAGCAGACGTTGCGAGAGCTGAAATAGCCACTATTCTTAAGAATGCTAAGAAACCTATTAGTAACATCAGCTAAAATGAACGCTCTGAACTCGCGAATTTAAAAAACAGAAGTGATATAGTCATCCTCTCAGCCGATAAAGGCAACGCTACTGTTATTATGGATAAAGATTCATACAACAAAATCCAGAATCTGCTCAACGATGGAAGTTACTCAAAAATAAAAAATGACCCTAGCAATAGCCTAGCGATAAAAACCAACAAGATCATCACAAGTTCGACCTCCCTAATCGACCCAACTAAACGTCCCTCCCTAAAACCTTCTGCTGCAAGACCTCCTAGATTCTATGGTCTTCCCAAGATTCGTAAAAAAGGCACCCCACTACGACCCATCGTATCCACGATCAACTCCCCTATCTATAGACTAGCCTGTTTTCTGTCAGATACCTTGCTGCCTTTCACTGGCAAGACCGCCTCAGCAGTACTTAACTCAGCCCAATTGGTCTCTATGGTCAAATACGTTGTACTGTCCCCTGACGATATCCTTGTCAGCTTCGATGTGGTCTCTTTGTTCACCAAGGTCCCAGTACCTGATACCATTGAAATAATTGAAAATTTGGTCCAACATGGACTAGATCCCGACACACCTGCACTGGTTAGGCACTGCCTCAACAATACCTACTTTACTTGGAATGGCTCCTTCTACAAACAAAATGAGGGTACCCCCATCGGATCCCCCTTGTCACCAGTGATAGCCAATATTTTCATGGAGAAATTTTAATCAGACGCCATCCAGACTTCCACCCTCAGACCTTCCCTGTGGAAGAGATCTGTGGATGACACTTTTGTCATTTGGCCACATGGCCTCCCAGCTCTGAACCTTTTCCTACACCACATCAATTCCAGACATCCCGCCATCAAATTCATCATGGAAGTGGAGAAAGATGGCAAGCTACCATTCTTAGATGTTCTATTTGAGAGGAGACCTGATAGCTCATTGGGGCATTCTGTCTACAGGAAACCCACCCACACAGATTCCTACTTGAAACCTGATTCCCACCACCACCCAGCCCTAAATAATTCTCTTCAAAACTTTATACCATAGGGCTCATTTCATTTCGGACCAACACCACCTGACCAGTGAATTAAAACATGTACACCTGGCCCTCAAAAGGAATGGTTACTCTGACCGTACCATCCGCCAAGCTGTTTCTCCCTCCATACAGAAACAACCACTTGATACTCCGGTCAAAACCATCACACTACCATATATAGCAGGCGTTACTAAAAAGATTTCCAAAATTCTAAACAAACACAAGATCCAGGTCCGGTTCAATACAGTACACAAAATTCGTGATCTGATCCCATCCGTGAAGGATGTCATTCCTGACTTACAGTACCCCGGGGTTTATAAATTGAGTTGTACCTGCGGTGATTGCTATATCGGGGAGACAAAGCGACATGTCTCTGACCGAATTCGCGAGCACAAATCAGATTTGAAACACGGCAAAACAAATTCTTCTGCCGTGGCTGATCACTGTTACAACGCTGTGGGTGATCACGATATAATTTTCTCCAATACCAAGGTTCTTTGCAAACCCACGGGTTTTTTTTATCAGAGATTTGTTCACGAGGCAATTCAGATCTACAAACACAGACACAATTTCAACCGAGAAGATGTTTCAAATTAAGCAACCATTGGAAAGATGTTCTAAATCGAACTAAACATTAAACTAATTTTAATGGTACAGTATATTTTTCAAGCAGTGGTACCCCAAACTTTCGCAGCTCTTATAAATTCCCTTTTCACCCCATCAATAGGTAAACTCACCCCCCCCCCCCGCGCCAAACGGCAAGTCCACCGGCACGTACACCACGTCTTTTCTAAAATCGGCCAATCAAATGCTAATTTTTATGCTAATTTATTTGTCAGGACACCTTGTTTGCTCGCACACAGCTTAAAGGTCCGCGGTCTGAGAGTGGTTGTGTTTCGCTCCAGCGCTGTCCTCGAGACAGCCTGGTCCCTTCGCCTGATGAAGGCTGCTTGTGTTGTGGCCGAAACGTCGTGATTTTTGTTATTTTATTTTTTACCTACGTGACTTTACCCAATAGAACCAAAGAGTATGGATCCTTGCAGTCACAAAAGCGTTCAATCTAGTATTGGGAGCTTGCGTGGAGGCCTCATTCGTGTGCAATTTTTTTCGTGACTTTCCTGGCCCCAGGCTGTAAATGGTTGAGGGGCACCGCAGGCGGTCAGGCTTGCTTCAACCCTTGGTTGTGAACATCCAGACGTTAATCAGCAAGGACCATTTCTTGTCCTAGTTCACCAACATATAAGACATCATGCAAAATTCTAATGAGTGTTGTTGTGGAGAATGTATCTACTAGATGTGCTCTGCCTTGTAACCGAATACAAATCTGTACCAAAAATGAATTTCAAATGTTCACTTAAAATTACTTCCTTGCTATGAAGCAGATCAGCAGACACGACATCTTTCATTTATCGATCTCTCCATGAAACAAAGGAATGTTTTACACAAACTAAAACTAGCACAGCCTTCTGGGAGTGCATCATTGATTCAGTGCAAACCACCTGTGGACTCTTATTGGTGCAAAACATCTCAAAAGCAGCCGGGCTGCTTCAACCGATAGTTTCGAACATCCAGACGTTAATCAGCAAGGAGCATTTCTAGACCTAGTTAGACAAAATCTACTTCAACACGTAATACAAAATTATAATTCGTGTTGAAGAGAATGTATCTCCTCTACGTGTAACTGATTAATGATCCGAGTGTGCTCCCTATTTCAAAGACAATGAATTGCTCCAGAGGCAGACGCTTCCTGAAAACACAAAAATACCCTTTGACTTGTATCACAAGAACAATGAGCCTCACCTGAGTTATGTGTACAGGTTACTTCCAAAACACACACTTTGTCCTAACATCACTTAATCAATGTTTGACCCTTAGACAAAATATTACATGTACGCACACAATCAGACAAGTATTAATTCAAATGATTGAGTCATTTTAACAAAATTGTATTACTGCACTGAAATATACTGTATCAGGTTACATCGTATTAACAAGAAGATATTTAAAAAAATACGCACCGTCTGCTTAACAGTGTATGTACAACATACTATTGTGTCATTAAAAACGAGTAGGCCATTGCATGCTGGCATCTGGGTCAAAATTGATCAAATTCTAAACATTACCTACAAACTCCACAACCAAGATGCCACATCAATAATCGCCCCCTACTGACAGGCTCTTGTCCACATGCAGGCCGGTGCAGGGCCACCACCTTGTGCCACACAGGGGCAGCTGCTACTTGGGGGTGCTCTTCCAGTGTTTGAGACGAGATACGATACAAAACTCCGAATTGCCAGAGGCGATTAAGCAAGCACCATCTAAATGCAATTATGATAACATACTCAACGCTTGGGAGTTTATTGGTTCTCGCTCCTGGTTAGAGATCTACCCAACCCACAGGTCCACAAAGACTGGCCGCTCTTACCCTGCAGGTTGAACCTAGGAATTGAGTGTTCAACTTCACATTCTTGTCATTAAAGGCCTGTGAGTGACAACGGTCCATTTATTGGAGCAACATCTTCTCAAGCTTACACATCTACCGGGACTCCATTTGACTTTGTATTGTCTCGGAGGAAGTCCACCCACACCTCCACTTCCACAAGCTGCTGGGAGTTGCCTCGCTCTGCCTCACAGTCAGAATTCTCCTCCTGCTTCACGTTGCCTCCATCGATGTGAAGGTCCGATTTTGGAGTTGAAACTTCATCTTCACATTTGACTTTCACTTCTTCGCTCTTCACCATCACTTCTTCACGTTTCACCTTCACCTCTTCATATTTCACCTCGATACCTTTAAAAGTGTCCAAGCTGGGATTTTCTTCCGGTTGTTTCATGAGGGATGGACTCATTGCGGCACTTTGACTTTCACAAGCTGATTTCAGACTCCATCCCTTGTGGATCTTCTGATGCTTGTGCGTTCTCTGGTGTTTTTGAAGATTTGATGACTGTGCAAACGCCTTCCCACACACACTGCACTTGAAGGGTTTCTCTCCCGTGTGTGTTCTCTGGTGTGTTACAAGAGTAGATGAATCTGAAAACACCTTCCCACACACACTGCACTTGAAGGGTTTATCTCCCGTGTGTATTCTCTGGTGCGTTACAAGAGTAGATGACTGCGAAAATGCCTTCCCGCACACACTGCACTTGAAGGGTTTCTCTCCCGTGTGTGTTCTCTGGTGTTTTTGAAGAGTAGAGAACTGTGCAAACGACATCCCACACACACTGCACTTGAAGGGTTTCTCTCCCGTGTGAGTTCTCTGGTGCAAGTTCAAATGGTCAGTACGATCCGTGCTGTATGCACACCGGTCGCATTGATGCCTTTTTGCACAGAGCTGCACCGAGTGCCTTTGCTCCATCAGACAAATTCTGCAAAGGAAGCGACAGCTGCAGAGAGAAAAAAAGAATATCCCCACCATCTACACGTCAATATCGAGGCACAGAGGAATGCATATATACAGTCAAACATGACTTACATGTCTATACTTATTCATTTCTTCATGTTATAGTGAAAAAGTGCCCCAAATTCATCACATGGGCTGTTATGGCACACAATTAGAAGGCAAATGTTCATAAACATGCCTGGAAGCCCTAATATCTTCAAAATGAATGTAAACCCAAAACTCCGAGCACACAATTTCGGCTGTCTGGCTTCAAAAGGAATATTTATGAAAGCTTAATTCAGCTGACATAGCAAAGGGTGTTGAAAATAATACTATTTGTGTTATGCAGAAATGCATAAATTAATGTTCAATCGCAACTTCGAGGTGTGAAGTCAGGCACAGATGTCCTTGAATGCTGTGATGAACAGTTCCGACTTCAGCTGCACGTGTGCTGTGATAACTTCCTGACTACATTCTTACAAAGATTGCAGAGGAAAACAAAAATAAACTGTTCCGTGCTCAATAGAGTTAATAGACTTTACTGCAAATACAATCTTGACCCTGTCACACACTCAGAGGTGGAGCCAGGATTTTTAGGTAGGGGGGGCAACCCCGTTCAGCAATGAAAAATTATAGTTGTTAGTAAGGAGTTGTTAGTAAGGAGTGTTAGTAAGGAGTGTTAGTAAGTAAGGAGTTGTTAGTTAGGAGTTGTTAGTAAGTAGTTCTAAGTAAGGAGTTGTTAGTAAGGAGTTGTTAGTAATTATGGAGTTGTTAGTAAGTATGGAGTTGTTAGTAAGTAAGGAGTTGTTAGTAAGTAAGGACTTGTCCTATGCTTTTTATTCGACGCGTGTGATAGGCATCGCGCTCGCTGAAGGTGTTTGCCATCAGGGAAGTCGTGTACTGTATACGCAACTGCGCACAATTCTGTGAGTCGCTTGTAACTGCTTTGCCATTAATTATTGCCAATTATGGAATCGGACTCTTGTCCTCTCATAGCGTCCCTGGCACGTAATAATATGCCACACGGTGGCAGTGGGGGGGGGGGGGTCGCAAAATGCTGATTTATCTATATTTATAAAAGGGAAATTTGTCAATTTGTGTCTGTTTGAAATGTTCAGCATACTTCCCGACATGCAACAAACTTGAAATTTGGCATGTGGGTAGCTTCCAGACTGGACACAATGCACAAAGTATTAAAATAGCCGTCATATCTGAGAAGTCACCCTATGCGTCAGCGTTACGCAGTGTGCCTGCTGACGTCACGCATCCCTCCCCCAACACTCCGCGAAGGCCGTGTTTTAATCCAAGACAAAAATCAAAGTCCCGGGTGAAGCCGGGTAGGAAAGCTAGTCTATATATAAAAGGGAAACTTGTGGACGTGTGTGTGTGTCTGTGCGAAATGTTTAGCATACTTCTCAACATGCTACACACTTGAAATTTGGCATGTGGGTAGGTTCCATACTGTACACAATGAAACAAGATAAAAATATACTTTTGTATTTTGTATGACCATGAAGTTTGTGGCGTCAACCCACAACACACCTGAGTTAAGCGCTCTGCAATGCTCACCACTACCATATGGCTCTTCGCGTGCCGTACTTCTAGAGCTGTTCACAGCGTGCCGGGAGATTTTAGGCGGCGCTTTGCTCCTGGCCGATGAAGTCATTGGTTTCTCGGAGTTTCAATACACATCCGTGCGAAGAACGGGTACAACGGCTATCTTAAATATAAAGCAGAAATTACATCTGTTTGTTTGTGTGTAGCAGCAAAACTCTCCAACGCTGAGCTCTGGCGTCATGAAATTTGCACAGCTTATGTTGTCTGGAATTTCTAAGTGAACGTGACTATTTTCAGCTTGCCACGTCATTCCCTTCCCGAGTTGCCAAAGTCGATATTACGTGTAAGTGGGTTAAGGCCAAATTTCCTTCAGCGAAAAACATCCGATTTAGTTAAATTGATTTTTGTCAGCTTTTTTCTATCTTGCAAGCATCAATTTTTTTCAGGGTTTTTCAGTGAAATAAGGGAAAATGAAATTAATCCAAGACAATAATCCAAGTCCCGGGTGAAGCCGGGTAGGGAAGCTAGTTACTAATAAACCCCTAATTTCGATCGGATCGTTGGGGGGGCACGTGCCACCCTACCCCCACTGGCTCCACCACTGTCATGCACTGGCATGGTTCACAGGTGGTGGTGTGTCCAGACCCAAGCCTGGCCACCTTCACATGCTCAGCATTAATGCTTCCTCACTGCAACAAGTAATGTACTGAGGATCAATCAACACAGCCGAGGCTGCGTCTCCCTCTCTCTCCCTGTGGTCGCGTTGATTTCCTTCCCGATCCCCCGGTTTCCCCTCCACATGTATAGAGTGAACACCGCCACGCGTCCAGAGTGAACACCGCCACACGTCCAGAGTGAACACCGCCACGCGTCCAGAGTGAACACCGCCACGCGTCTAGAATGAACACCGCCACGCGTCCAGAGTGAACACCGCCACGCATCCAGAGTGAACACCGCCACGCGTCTAGAATGAACACCGCCACGCGCCCAGAGTGAACACCGCCACGCGTCTAGAGTGAACACCGCCACGCGTCCAGAGTGAACACCGCCACGCGTCCAGAGTGAACACCGCCACGCGTCCAGAGTGAACACCACACGTCTAGAGTGAACACCACACGTCTAGAGTGAACACCGCCACGTGTATAGAGTGAACACCGCCACGCGTCTAGAGTGAACACCGCCACGCGTCTAGAATGAACACCGCCACGCGTCCAGAGTGAACACCGCCACGCGTCTAGAATGAACACCGCCACGCGTCTAGAGTGAACACCGCCACGTATCTAGAGTGAACACCGCCACGCGTCTAGAGTGAACACCGCCACGTATCTAGAGTGAACACCACCACGCGTCTAGAGTGAACACCGCCACGTATCTAGAGTGAACACCGCCACGCGTCTAGAGTGAACACCGCCACGTATCTAGAGTGAACACCGCCACGCGTCCAGAGTGAACACCGCCACGCGTCTAGAGTGAACACTGCCACGCGTACAGAGTGAACACCGCCACGCTGTTGACGAGCCTCACCTTGTGTTGTGGGCAGGTCGCTTCCGAAAACAAAAGCGGTACAGCAGCTCAAGCGGGCTTGGCCTGGTAAAAAAGAATGAAATAAAAACTGCGTGAATTATTAAAAGTGACAAAGTGGCGAGCCGTGTGAAGACAAATTAAACTTAAGCAAGAGAATTGAAGCAAACGCGATCAGGCGAGGGCAGGAGGCAAGGCCCCGCGTGGCTAGGCCCCGTGCTGTAAAGTTCAAACCTGGACATCGCTTCCATGCTCGCTGCTACTCAATTGACATCCCTACGAGAAAGAGAGCGAGGCTTTACCTCGGTAAACAAAAACAACAATCACCACCACTACCACCACAACCACCACAACCACAACCGCGATGAGAATGTCTCACCTCGGATTTCAGTGCACGGCGGAGCAGCAGCTTCCTGTTACTTCGTGACGTCACGCAGCAGCAGGAGTTGACATGACGTCACTTGCGGGGTACAAAACACTCCCCGCCCACAATGAGCGGCTCTGTGGGCGTGGGTGCCGAACTCGTCGCAATAAACTCGCGACGGCTTTCATGAATATATTATGTTAATGAGCCGCCAGTCACCGGCAGTAGCTTTGCCCAAACAAGGATTCTAGTTGAACAGGTAAGGGAAGTGACCCAGGCAGAGGTGACGTCACGCTCAATGTCGCAGTGGACCGGGTGGGATGAATACCTTGGTGACATGACGTCACTAGCGAGGTACACCTCCCCCTGGTGTTTCACGCCGATGAGGTAATGCTGAGTGGTGACGTCACAGAGCGGGGTTGGAGTTTAAGTTGATTTAGATTCATTTTCCCTTGCTCCCTCCCTTGATCAGAGACCCCTTGGGTGTGTGAGCTCAGCAACAACTGTGTGTGTGTACACTGTGTGTATGTGTACACTTTGTGTGTATGTGTACACTGTGTGTGTACACTGTGTGTGTGTACACTGTGTGTGTGTACACTGTGTGTGTGTGTACACTGTGTGTCTGTGTACACTGTGTGTACAGTGCGTGTGTACAGTGTGTGTGTACAGTGTGTGTGTGTGTACAGTGTGTGTGTACACACTGTGGGGGGCCCAGTCATCTAAGTCAGTCGACCAATGGCATTTTTTCATCAATTTATTATTTTCCAAATTTTTTTTCTATTTACGTAACTTTACCGAAAGAACCAAGAATACGGTAGCACATTCTCTATTTATTGCAGAGATTCAAGGTTCAACACCGACAGACACACCTGGCTACCCCAGTAACATTCACCAAAATATGCACAGTCTGCTTAACGGCGGCTATAAAACATAGCGTTGTGTCATTCACAACGCGCAGGTCATTGCATATTTGTGTCACGGTCAAAATTGGGGTAATTCCAAACATTATCCAGAAACTACACAACGGAGATGACGCTTCAATGATCGCCCCCTACCGACAGACTCATGTCCACGTGCAGGCCGGTGCAGGGTGTTGGATATATGTGCTGATGGACCTGGAGTCAGAGACTTGTGTTCCCAGCTTAACACACTGCTTCCTGTCAGACAGGAAGTCTGTGATCCACCTGCAGGTGGAGTCGGGCATGTTCAGCTGGAAGAGCTCGTCCTGAAGCAGGGCAGGGATGATGGTGTTGAAGGCAGAGCTGAAGTCCACAAACAGGATCCTGGCGTAGGATGCTCGGGAGTCCAGATGCTGTAGGGTGAAGTGGAGGGCCATGTTAACTGCGTCGTCCACAGACCTGTTGGCTCTGTAGGCAAACTGAAGGGGGTCCAGGAGAGGGTCTGTGATGGCTTTGAGGTGTGCCAGGACCAAGCGCTCAAATTACTTCATTACCACAGAGGTAAGGGCGACCAGTCTATAATCATTTAGTCCTGTT